TTGGATCGTTCCTATTTTGAGTATTTTTATATTGGCTAATTAAACAATCACAATGCTCTAAAAATATCTCCAAGATTCCACTGTCTCCATCAAAAATTGGTATTGTGTCTATATGCATTTTCATTAAAGAGTGGTTAACACCACTAACAGAAACAACTGAATCTTGACTACCGTTACACTTTTTGTTTGTTTTTAGACTTAAATTACTAATTGTTTCTATTAATTCGTCAATTTTTGCAAATTTAATTTAAAGTTAAAAATCTCTTAAAATATTATGTACATAAATATTTAAAGTTTAAAACTTGGAATCTTACATTCAATATTCACGCAAAAATTATAAATGTTTATTTTATTTTTTTAAATTACTTATCTCCTAAATTTCTTTTAAATATATTATATTCGTTAATAATTTAAAAGATAAAAATCATGGAATTCTATATTCACTAGTTATCTACAACTGATTCCCTAATTCTACCAAAGATAAAAAATGTAAAAAGGAAAAGAAAGGATTGGCTTAACACGTCCTTGGTTGATGGTTCTGCTCCACGAAGAATTGAAATTCACGACGTCTTCACTTTGTTTACAAGGAAAACGCCTTGAAGCATCCGAATGACTGCGCCAGATAAATTTAAAGAATGGAAAAATACCTTTTTAAAACATTTTGTTTTACTTTACAAACGAATTACTCTGATAAAAAATAAGGAATGACAATTTTTGGAATTTTACATGTATTTCTAACTTAGCTTGCGCTGACTCAGCAGGTCGAAGACCGGCATGCAAGCTTGCATTTAAAGTTCATATAACTAGCGACACCTGATAAGTAAAAACGCAGAACATTAAATAATATATTTAAGTAACAAACTTTATTTCGTTAGGGTAACTCGGTTAATTTGACTCGAACCATCGCTTTTTTGGGATTCTCCACGATCGCTAATTTTCTACCGGGTTACATTTCCCCAAGATCTTGAATCAAATAATTAGAGAATAATCTAAATCTAAATATCTATTTGCATTTTAATGAAACACAAAAATTATGTAAATTGCTTCTGTATATCTTTCCCAAATTTACAAAATGCCTTTGCCGCCGTTTTGTTCGCATTTTATAGGAATAAGAACGAAGGTAAGTGCTAATAAGAAGGTTTAAGTTACGGGAGGTCTGTTTGATAAGATGGTAAAAAAATAAAAGTAATTTTTTCGAAACATGCATTTATAATTTATAATTTTAAGTAACAGTACCGGTACATGAAAGTAATGCGTTTTTATAGGAAAACATCTGTATAAATATTCGGACTATAGGTTTTACATTTTGCTTAAAAATTAACAATTTGTACTTCAAAATTGATTTTAAAAAATATCCTCCTTTCTTAAAATACACATACATTTCGCTAATCCTTTGTTTAACAACACCATTTTAAAATTTACAAACAGACAAAATAATTTCGTTAAAAACATTTAAATCTTGTACGTAATAGGTTGGTCGAAATTCTTCAGGATATTTCCAATTTAAAACGTCTTCAAGTTTCTCAGTACCGCTCAACACCAACAATTTTTGGAAACCTCCTAAAGTACCTGTATGCATGTCTGAGTGAATACTAAAAAAAAAAAACAATATTTTATATAGGTATTTAAGAGACATCACAATATGCAATGAAATTAATAAAATAAATATTATTGGAACAAAAAATAATATAGAACGAAGTCGTTTTATATCGCATACATAAAAAAAAGGCGACAAATCAGTATGTTAAAACCGTGGTGTGAATATAGGATGGTGTGCTCGCGCGGAGGTAGATCAAATGCTAAATAGACTTTGTAAACCTTTATGTACAATCACCGAACAATATTGTTCGGTGCCAAAACCAAAAAAGTAACCGTCCTGAACACGCTAGTAACCGCTTTAACCACACCGGTAAGCGTATTACCACAGCTTATACAATACAGCTAAAACACTCTCTTGGCGGCAACGGTTTGCGTCGATTTCGTCGCGCATCGCTTAAGCTCCGCCTTCGAAGAGAAAAGACGGTTTTGGCGTTCAGAAGTGTATAATTTCGTGGAGCCTATAATTTCGTAGATTTTGTTTGAGTTAAAGGTACTGTTATTATTTTGGTGACTCTTTAGCTGTGAGTAAAATGAATGAAAAAAAAGACATCATTCTGTTTGTGCAGTCAAAAGCTGTTTTAATAAGGGTTATACCTGCAAGAAAACATTTTTTAATTTTCCCAAGGACCCAAACCGATAAGTACTACATTATAAGACATTTTCATTGTTAAAAATATAATTTATACAGGGTGTCCCATTAGTGCGTTATTGTTCATTATTTTGTTGTAGACACGCAAGAAAGTTTTAAATAAAAGTTATATGGATTTGAAAAATACCTACATATTTTAAAAATATCTTTGGATATACAGGGTGTCACGTTTTTGCCTGGCAAATTAAAATGTATGTTTTTTAAATGGAACACCTTGTATTTTATTTTATGATGAAATTATTAACACCCTAAATTATTGTAAAGACGAATTGCTACAGAAAATTTTTATCAGGTATGTGTGTGGTTACCTTTTAATAAAAGCCTTGCGGATCCACTCCTGCGATACCTGTCTTAAATATAACAAAGATCACGTTGAAATAGATGATTTTTCTTTTTATTGCTTTTTAAAGGCATATGATAACGCCAATTCAGATACATTTGGAAATCTGCAACTGTCAAATGATGAATTTGTAGAACTAATATTCAATATTGAAAAGATATTTCAAAATAATTTTGAAGAATTGGCTACAAAAAATAACATTTGTACCACACTTTTAGAATTAATTAACCCAATACCCTTTAGTCATCCATGCTAACGTTTTCCAAAAGAATAACTTATTTTATTGTATGTTTAATCTCAATAACTAAAAAATATACTGACAATTAGTTTGACAGAATTGTCATTTATTTAAAATTTTAAAAATAATAGCAGTCGGTTGATCAAAATATGAACGGTGATTGGCGAATTTATTTTTTTTTGCAGTGTTCTCACTACCTAGAATGGATATGAAATATATTCGTTCAATTGAAGGCAATAGCATGTTTTTTCGTTTTGTAATCTGTGCATGGATATTAGCCAATCTACGTACATACTACAAAACGAAAAAGTATGTTATTGTGTTCAACTACGAATATATTTCATATCCATTTTAGGTAGTAAGAACACTTTAACAAAATTAAATCTACAAATCATAGTTCATATTTTGGTCACCCAACTCCTATTATTTAAAATTTTTTAAATAAGTGACAATTCTGTTAAACTAATTGTCAATATATATTTTAGTTATTGATATTAAATATACATTAAAATTTTTGTGCAGACTCGATAAATAATAGCATTTTTGTTTCTATTGTGTCCACATTTAAAAAAAAATAAATTTTAATTAAACTACATGATACTAATTTAATTACGAGTATTAAAACTAAAGTCCTGAAAGTTTCGGTGAAGATGAAGACAGAGCATCTGCCTTCCACGCGAAAAGTCCGGGATCGAATCTAGGCCGAGGACTAATTAATTTTTCATGTTTATTTTATTTTATAAATTAGTCAACTTCGTAAATTATTTTAAAATTAGTTATTTTGTCTAAATAACCTAAAATAATTTTTTAAATTTGTAGATTTTCGTTAGTGGGTCGTAGAAAAAATATACTGACCATATCGAGTAGATTGTTCATATCACAATCAGACGATTGAGTTCTCCGCCTACGACGTCGTGCTCAAACTTCGTCTTTGTGTGATATGGCTATCATATCCACCCTTGTTGAACAAACTACAATTTATTTGTTTTCTTGGTTTAAGTTTTACATCAGAAATAGGAATTAAATTAATTTACTTTTCAAGTTTTCTTGTAAAAATCGATATTACTTTCTCCAAGTACAAATTTAGTACCTACCTAAAATAAGTACTAATTATGTTATATCTTGTAATATTGTAATTCAAATTTCACATTACTATAAAGTTTTAAAATTTCCTACTTCAGTACGGTCAGATAAAAATTGAATATATTATATTAATAAAAACTGTCAAAGTATAACTTCTACAAATCTGTATTTCAAATAATAAGAATACATCTAAATATAACCAATATTGTTAAAACAAAAGCACACATTCTTTATAATTCCAAAATACCATAGAGTTCCCAGACCTCAGTCGAAGCATTCGTTTATCTAGGTATAAACCCTTTGCGCGAAGAGTAACACTTGCCAGAGACACGGGGGTACCACTTGATTTGCATCCACGAGCGTGGCACAATTCTTTAACAATTGAAGCCCTTAGTGTAAAATGGATCCAAGCCACAATTTGTCGTGAAGTGACTGTTTTAGCTCAAAACATTTGTTAACGAGGATTTTACTAGCCATATATAAATTATTTTACCTCTAATCCGAAAGATGTGCTATTTTTCGTAATATTTATATTTAAATAATTTTTTTAATTATATTTGAAAGATTTAAAACAAATTAAAAATGTAATTTCCCAAAACTTACTTAATATGGCATGTGACCAACCTTATTACGCCAAGGTTTTCAATTTTTTCAATAATAAAAAAATTGTTTAATCCGGGCCCGACTTTTCCCTTGAATCTAACAGAGATAGCACCATTCCGTCTTGCTTGGTTCTCGACCGCCAGATCAAAGACGCCGACACGACATGGTATTACCATTGTTTACTATTATCCAGAGCAATCATGCTCCGAAACGCAGTAGAGAATGGCTTAATAAATACGCCTATTTTATTGTGCCACCGTTTACTGCGATTCAGCACATTACCATTATGCTAGTGTTCTGAATCGCAGTAAGCAATGGTTCTTTACGGCACGCGTTGTTAGCGGCCAATGTTTACTGCAGTACAGCGCCGACTTATCGCCGCCATATTTGTATTTGGTTAGTGTCGAAAGGATATTTCACCTGTAAGCCTCCGTTAATAGATCTAAAATATTCATTGTTTTTAGTAGTCTTTATAATTCGGTTTAACGATGGAGTACGAACATATCTTAACTGATATTTATAGTTCAACTAGTTTAAAACTACAACAATTTAATTCAAATGGAGAGGGTTTTGATGCTTATGTAAGAGATAAAAAACCATCAGATCTTGATGAAGAGAATAGTGCGTGGTGTGATAAGTGTGTTGCCGAGTTTCGCTCCAAGCACTAATTGGATTGTGCGTTACACTTACCCATCTGCAAAAAGATATGGTTATCGAAAAATATTTAAATGTCAACATAACAGCTTTGACAAGGTTAAAGAAAGAAAACGAGAAGACTTTAGAACAAGCGATACACAGTGCAATGCTACCATTGGTATCGTTTTAAAAAAAGTAAACAGAAACGCAATTAAAAATGACGAGTTGTTGAAAATTGGATTTAATGTTTGCATCAATGTAAGTAAAAAAAGTTGTTACTATTTACTGACGTGAACTTAACAGTAAAGAGTTAGCTGTAGATTTTTAGAAGATTGCGGAATGGCCAGTGGCGTCGGCATAATGTTTTAACACACTTGTGTAAACAAATTATAGATAATGTTGAAATAAAATTACTACAAAATGTTCCTTGGGCATACATAGGTTGAAATTCAATTTATACAAAGTGTTTTTTTGGGCATAGCACTACATTTCAGTACCAACGGTAGATCCTTGCAAGTCGTCTAAGGGGATAGAATTGGGGTTAAAAGTTTAAAAGTCTCAGTTTTCACTAGAAAAGTACTAATTTTTGTGTACTTATAAAAATTTATACATTGTGTTGAAATTAAATTTATACAGGGTGTTTTTTGGACATAGTACTACATTTTGCATTTGCATTTTGACTTGATAACTTGATATTTTACATGTTGAAACTTCTTTGCAGATTAAATTTATTCACTTCCATCGTGTTAATGTTGCCGAAGCTTATAGCTACCACAGGTTTGCTCCAAATATTCGTGAAACATTTTTCCAATATTTTGATGAAGGTATGACCAGTGCTAGCGCAAGAAACTACCATAAGCTCTTAATAGAAAATTCTTAGGACGCCGAAGAACCAAAACGCGCAGTGGCTTTAGTATTAGCAAACGCTCAGTCAAATCCAACAGAACGACAAATCAGGCATTTATACGATATATGGAGGTTTACAATCTTACATTTCTTCTTTGGTAACAGTATAAGTGTAAATCATTCTTTTTCTAGATCCAACAACATTGGAGGGCGTGACCAATTAAGTGTGTTAAATGTCTTACGAAAAAAGTCTGTTCTGTATAACGAAAGTGGTATGGGTAAAATAGTGATTAAAGAAAATCTACTAATTGTTGTCATTTTGATTCCCATAATGTTACATGCACATAGAGAATGGTTTTCACGGGAAGTAGTATTCGTAGACTCCAGTGGTTCCTGCGACCAAACTAATACCTGCGTAACATTCATGTTTACTGCTTCAAAAGTTGGTACCATTCCGTTGGGTTGTATTTTACATACGGCACAAACTGAAGCCAATCATACCCTAGCATTCAGTTTATTAAAAGAGTCTCTTTCAGAGGATTGTTTTGGTAATGCTCCTTATCCCCAGGTTTTTATTCTTTGACAGTTGAAGAAGCAAATGACTAATGAATTCATGAAAGACGATATTGTTCAGAAATATGATCACCTAAAAACATACGTAAGCAAATTTTGGGTATGGAAAGAAGAATGGTGTTTGTGTTTTAGAAAGGATGTGTTGACAAAAGGTAACAATACAAACAATTATGTAGAATCCTCAATACGAATTTTTAAAGATATCGTTTTGCGAAGGTGTAAGGCTTTTAATATGTGCATCTTAGATTAGATTAGATTAGATTTAATTAGGACTATGGGCCATGTGGCCTCGACCTTTTCAGATTTATTGTGGATATCCTTTAATCATTGTTTAGAGTACCTTGTCTAATGCGGTCTTTTGTAGTAAACTCCATAGACTGGAAAGTAGTTCTCCGGTATAGCTAGTTGCCCTTGGTTTTTCTTCTCCAAGTGTAAGGAATCTCAGTCTTACTAGACCTTCGCAGTAGCACAATACGTGTTCTGCCGTTTCCTCTTCTTCTTGACAGAATCGGCACAAGGCCTCTTCTGTCAGACCGATATTGAACATATGTTTGTTAAGCCTACAATGCCCTGTTAATAGACCTACTAGTATTCTAGTATTTTTCCTATTAAGGCTTAGTAGATGCTCGGTGAGTTTAGACGATGGTCCTTTTAAGAACTTTTTGGCCTGTCTCTGTCCTGGTGAGTTTTCCCACCACTCCTGAGATTTTTTAAACATCCACTGCTTTGTGCATGTTCTGATAGTTGTTTTTGTTACACCACAGAAGGGTTCTGGGCCAATAAGAGCATTTGATGCTCCTTCTCGGGCTAGTAAATCAGCCTCTTCATTGCCTTTGTGTCCCCTGTGGCCTGGTACCCACGCTAAGGTTAGTCTGTTTTGACTACCCAGCTCTGTTAGGGCTTCCAAACAGTCCCACACAAGCTTTGAGTGTACCTGCATGGAACTGAGTGCTTTTAACGTCGCTTGACTGTCTGAGTATATGACAATGGTTTTTCCATTTACCTTCTGTCTTAATACTTCTTTTGCGCAGTGATGTATTGCTGCTATTTCTGCCTGGAATACTGTCGCATGTTTACCTAAGCTCAGTGAAATTCCTGTCTTTGGCTTGGTACTATATATACCTACTCCTGAACCTTCATGGGTTTTGGAACCGTCTGTATACCAGGTGAGATCTGCATGAATAGGAGGTCCTCCCGTCCACGCTTCCCTGTCTGGTATACTTACTTTATATTGCTTTTGAAAGCTATACTTTGGAAGCATTTCGTCTGAAGGCATTCCCATTATTTGGTCGTTCTCCAACTCTTTATATAGCTCGCTGTAGTCGCGTCCATGCAAACTGCTTATGGGCGATGAACCTTTGTGCAGTCTGTATGTGACAGACCTGGCTTCGCCTTGAATGAATATATGTAGTGGTGTTAGGTTTAGCATGACTTCTATAGCTGCTGTTGGAGTCGTTCTCATAGCTGCCGTGGTACTCAGGCATGCTTGCCTTTGAATACCATTGAGCTGTCGAATGGCTCCAGCTTGCCTAGTCTTTGGCCACCATACCACCGACCCGTAGGTTATCATCGGCCTTATGACTCTGGTATATAACCACAGGGACATTTTTGGTTGTAATCCCCAATTTTTTCCACACAACCTTCGACATAAGTTAAAGGACGTTGTGCTCTTTTGGGTGACTTTTTGCAAGTGTTGATTCCATGTTAACATGTGGTCAAAGATGACTCCCAAGTATTTGGCCTCTTGAGCGAATGGAATCGTCACTCCTTTCAGTACTGGTGACTTTAGTCCTGTTGGTATATATGTGCGCCTTAGTTGATTTTATTGTCAACGTTTTTGAGTCATACCATAAAAGACACATTTTATCATTTGCTAATAATCGATCGACGAAAAATAATTGACTGTACTTCAAATTTTGTCAAAAAATTAAAAATTTAAACGTAGAAAAAATTACTGAAAACCTGTATGAAGTAAGTAGTAATGAGAAAAAATCCTTAATGTATACAGTCGATATCAACTTAGCAATGTGTGACTGTCCTTATGGTGCCGGCGGGAAGTTCTGCAAACATCTTTGCGCGGTTCAGGAAACTTGTGGTATTGTCTTCAAAAATGGTCCATTATTAACTGCCAGTAATAAAAAAACTCTGGCCAAGCTAAGTCTCGGATATGACGTTTCTGAAGATTTTTTTGAAAACAACATGGAAGTTCAATATATGGAATGCGGTACCAGTGATGAAAACACAAATAATAAAAAAAGTTGTTCTGAAATATCGTCAATAGCAATTACGCCATCAGAAGATGGCGAAATAATGGATAGGAAGCACTTGGCTGCTATTGAAGAGCTTAATTTAAATTTCCAAAGGCTTACTAAAATGGCTTCAAAAAATATATCAATTAATTTGACAAATTCAAATATAAAAACGCCCTCACAATTGGCAACATTTTTTTGTAATTTGAGGAAAACACGATGTTCCGTAAATATCGGTGTACAACCGGGGTCAGCGTAAGAAAAGACCTGGCATTACTTCTGGAGCTAAGAGAATTCAGTCGGGAAGACCATCAAATCAGGAAGTATTAATAACCAAGAAACGCAAACGAAATCTTGGAAAAAGTATTGCAGAAAACATTCCCAATGCCAAATCGCAAAGCGCAAATCGCACGGGAGATCTTAGTATGTTAAATATGTATATGTCTTCTAAATGTTAAAGGAAAATACCTAAGTTTATAAAAATATGTACTTAGATACCTATACTATTAGAATTTATCTATCTACTTATTAAATGTTAATTGTTAATGTTTAGTTATTATTATTTTAAAAGAAAAGAGTACCTGAGTATCTAATATTACTCTATTATAAGATTTAACTATTCAGTGTTAATTATTTTATTTTTTTCCTATAATAGCGGTAGCAAAACCCTAAACATATAATAATAATATGCCCTTATGCAAAAAATAACACAAATTATAATATTGTTAAATATATAACCATCAGAGTGCAGTAGACAACGAACGCGTCTATATTATTGCTAAAATCTACCGCGATTCAGATTCATTTTAAAAGTTGTTTTGAATACCAGTAAAGATTGGAAATCTAAATTACGCGCATGTTTAAAGACCATTGGTTACTACGATTCAGAACACTGTCATAATGGTAATGTGCCGAATCGGAGTAAACGTTGGCAATACAAAATACGCATATTTACTAGGTCATTCTCTACTGCTCTGGATAATAGTAAACAATGGTAATACGCCACCGGTAATATTCGGTGATATACGGAACACACACCTGGTATTTGAACTTAGAGATGAATAAAGAGAGGCTCTATCGGCTGCCTGCCTACCTGCCGTGATTGATCAGATATATACACCTCTATTACTAATGGGCTGGCGCGCACTCTTTGACCTTTATCTAATCAATAGCATTGCCTATTCTAGACCGTTCTTCTGGCGGGAAACTTAACATACTGTATGTATATTATCGGTGTAAATCTGTTACAAAATATCTACAATTTTACATGAAATACCGCTTCTAAGTTTTAAAAATTGCGCAGAATATAGAGTAAAAATTAAACGAAAAAAATATCTTTATAATACGTACGAATCTCCAATAAATAATACTCGACTTGGATTAGTTATATCAAATTTTTCCTTAATATAGTCCACACAAATTTGAGACGGTTTTCCAAGTTGAATATAGTCCCTTCCAGTAAGATCTTTTAAAGCTTCTGCGAAGTAGTATACTCCTGAAAAAAACATATTCTCTTAAAATATATCGTTAAGAATGGGCGTGTTTAGTGTAAACGAATTTAACAAATCTAATGCTGTTTAAACACAAAAAAACTTTTTTTATGCAATATATACTTTTGATAATAAATAATAAAGTTATAGAACTCTAAATAGTTCACTTTTAAATCAATTATTTAAAACACTCTATTTTTGCGCCATTTACCGCGTCATAATGAAGCGCCTATTTCTATTGGTCATTAAAGAATCTGTGATACCGTAACAAATAAAGTAAACACCAAATCTAAAGAAACAAGGACGCGCATTTGTAATGCTACGAACACGCCTACCGATGAATATTATTGGTAGCTTACCTAGAAAGTTGTAAACCAGGGGCGCGTATATTTTAAGATATAAAATACATGGAAAATAGTAAATGATACATGTTCATACATATTGCTAAGTGTTATTATTAGTACATAATTCTATAGTCAATTAAAAAATCATTATTTTTAAGTAAGCTGACTTTAGGTTAAGGCTGTTCTACCGCTTTCCGTTCGGTATTTATATAAAATTGGTATTTTCCCGTTTCGCCACGTGCTGTTTCGCCACGAAAAGGAAATTTACCTGCTTTAGTAGCGTTTTTCCACGACAATCAGATAACGTAGCACGTCAGTGCAGATTCGCCATACTTCCTTTCTTCTATTACTGCAGTAAGGCTTCCAGTGTCAATCCCCAATGTGTACGCACATTTCGGTCATAATTACCTTCGATTTCATAGGAAAGATACTCAACATAATAAGTTCATAGAATAAAAC